CTGCCACAAAATATACGATGCGCACATGCGCTGCAATCGTACTTTCGTGCTCTATGGCCACAAGTTACTTGCTGTAGTACAGGGCACGAAATTTGAACTCAATAGCACACACTAAATATGATAAACTTTCTTAATTTGGTCAAAGAAATTACTCAATGCTTAAGTTGTAAACAAATAAAGCTGTGGTCATAAATAGGTACAGAAACACACAATGTCCCACTTAGTGACCTAATCAAAAGTTACTAAAATTTTCCCTCGAGTATACGTCGAATATTTTTGGTTTATTCGTACAAATGCAACTCACACTTGTCCTATATAAACATATAGAGATGAGTATTAATTGTTTTCTTTTCAAAAAGAGGAGCGATATTTAATGTTATGACTAATTTTCTTGAGACGTTCACAAATGGAAACATGCGTGTTTTGTTGTACCTATTTGTCACATTCATCTATATGTTCAAAATTACTAACCTTTTTTAGAATCCACGCATAGCATGATATTTATTAAGTATTCACTGACACTTTTACGAAAAAACTATATTCTTCAACGTTTTATCCCGGACGACATAACAAAAATGTGACTGTTCCATGACAAACGCCGTCTACTAACATGGCGACAAACATGTGCTCAATCTGCCACTGATGGAGACACGAGCACCTTATTTCACATTTTCACGAATATTTATTAGTCAAATATCACTGGAACCGTATATCAAACCATGGCTAACTAATCGTTAAATGTGATAAATACCCTTTGCAAAGATAAATTACTTAAAACTTCTGATTAATTTAATAAAAGTCCACGAGTGGTCACAAATAGGGTCATGGTCACAAATAGGGACATTTACCTTAGAACATCTAATTTTTCAAATAATTTAAATATTTTTTAATTTTTAATGTTTCCTATAAAAAAAAAGCCATCAATTGTGCATACTGAGATTTTATTTCTAATTTATCATTAAAATCCACATTAGAGCACGTCAGTTTCTTTTACATATTTTTTACAAATTTCTTGAAAAATCTTTGATACGGTTTTCTGATAAGTTTAAGTTATAGTAGGTACATGGGTGGCCAACCGAACGCAGTAGAATCTATATTTATCACACAGACATAACGCTATTAAAATACTAAAATACTAACAATTAAAATTTATACATATTCATATATTCATCTCTCATCCAATGTATAAAAATCATATAAACCAATCGTTAGGACAAATCCAAACTCATTAACGTAAAGTAATACTATATTAAAAATAGGAATGGACTTCTTTACAAAAATATCTAATAAATATGTATGTTTCGGTTGCGGCCACCCGGTTGCGTCGGGAATGAACGGCGCAATTTTAGCAAGGTTTATATACGAATTTTGGGGAAATACCAGTAGTGGAGTAGAAAATTTATTATTATATCAAATTAGAGTCCAATCGACTTGGCCATTGAGAATTGAGATTAATTAAATATAATTGTACTTAGATCTTATAAGCGTTAGAGTCTGAAAGCGTTCGTGCTTAAAACAAAAGCACAAAAATGCGGTAAGCCGAGAAAAAAAGAAAAAAAGATAGTATAGAATAGACTTATTTAATCTAATCGAATGTAATATACGGATTCCAGGTGGGAAATTCATGGACGTATAACGTGTTCGGAGCAAAAGTGGACAATGGATGGTATCACAATTGTTTCTCAATAGATATTTATTTATACATATATTCTTTTAAAAAAACTATCCTAGTTAGGGCATTTAGTAAATTTTTGTAATCCAATAACACCTAATATTAATGTTAATTCCTAATACATTTTTTTGATACTACAGTGCAGACCCGGGTTTCTTTTTTGCGGATAAATATATATTAACAAGAAATGCTTATTAAATCAAGAAACGATTGTGAATACGTATGTCCGGAATTTGCAAAGGTTATTTTGAATATATTATATGTAACCTTAAGTAGATTTATAATTCAAATGCGGTTTTACGTTTAAATGCAATTTACAAATCATGGATTTAATCACACACATTTCTTTCTTTAAACAATTAATGTAATGAAGACATTACTGTGCGACATTCTGTATAGAACCAAGGATTCTTAATACTAAAGCAACAAAGAATGACTAGTGTATTGAGGATCTATGCACAATAACCCAATTTGGATTAATGTAAGAAATTTGTATTGTCAATAAGTTGATGATACTATAAAAAATTCAACGCACTGGCACATGGCGGCCCAATGATACAAAGAATTCGCAGTATGCAGATTCGAGATAAGCCTTGAGGACAGAAGATTATCATAACAGATTTTTTAATAACCAAAATACCGGAAGATAGCTTTATCTTATCATATAACGGCCTACAAACCGTGAAGGCAATGAATACTACAGTGACAAATGAACATAGAAAGAACGATTATGTTGAACTATC